GCGAACAATGATCCATGTACTATTAGCAATTAAAGGGGATAACTTATGCTTGTGATTACGGTTAACCCTCAGACAAGTAGAATATAGTCCAATTGGTTAATCCAAATTCCAGGAACAGTTTGTTTAAAACTACTTTTTGGAGGTTATGCGTTGGAAGGCAAACCTCTGTTTAGCATTCATTTTTTTTTTTTGAGAGGACAAGACGTTGGAAATCATCAAATGGGGTATCGGCCATTTCAATAAATCTTGTAACATAGATTTCGGAAGTACCTGCTCATTCAAAATTTTTTTAATAACTTGAATCGTAACTTAGTTTAATGTGCTTTCAGTAAAGAGGAAAGATGATTAGTAACAAAACATACAGGATGGGGAAACTGCAGAGAACGTATGAAAAGAACGCATGATGTTCATTACCAGGGCGGCTCGTTACCCAGGGTTCCTCATCCACTGCCAAGTACAGCATACCATACACGTTGTCCAAGGAAGCAGGGAGAGAAGCCAACCTTTCTGACTGCCGAGACATTGAAGTTACAGTCTAGGAGAGCAACCCACATCCGAATTCCAAATGGCATAGGAAGCCTCACACGACGAACAAAGAGTGTTCACCCCACTCTCCACCATAATGACCCCTGGCTTAAACTGGGTTACCTGGTGTACGCGGAACAACGGGAAAGAGCAGTGCAGGTCTAGTTCTGCAGTGGAGATGCAGGTGGTGCTCACCCAACACACTTAACATTAAAACTCAACAGCAGAAGTCATAGACTGCACTGTGCGAAGCCTCATCCTTCATAGGATTAAGAATTAAGAAACACAGGAGCAAAAATAAATGTGTGTTGATGAATGGTTCAGAGAACCGACAATTTGATAAATTAAACACATGCTCAATACATGGGTATCTTTAATGAGGAAACGTTTTGCCACACAGTGGCTTCATCAGTCTATACAAAGGAGAATGGTGAAGAACAGGAGGAGTTTGAGGTAATCAGTCCCTCAGCCTTGAGTCGATGTAATCAGTCCATCAGTCTTGAAAAGAATACAACATATGTGCGAAGAAGTGGCTTATATACTGCAGGCAGGTGAGGTGCAGCAGTCGTAGGTGGTATCACATTTGATAACTCAAAATGTGGAAGTAGGTCATGCCTAAAGATTAGGCAAGTGAAGAGTTCCCTATATTAAGATCCCAATATGTTGTTGTGTCTGACAGGAATGTAGATGAATGGTTTAGAGAACCGACAAGTTGATAAATTAGACACATGTGCAACACTTGGGTATCTTTAATGAAGAAACGCTTCGACACAGTGGCTTCATCAGTCCAAACAAAGGAGAATGGTGAAGAACTGGAGGAGTTTGACGTAATCAGTCCCTCAGCCTTAAGTCGATGTAATCAGTCCATCAATCAAAAATGTGTACCGAATGTAGGTAAAGGCTTAAAAAGAAAACCCGCCATATTCCATATTCATATGAAAGAGGGAAAAAAAAAACAGCAATCCTGCCAGAATGGAAAACGTTTAACAGTTGAAATGTTTCCTATTCATCTTGCTCTGACTTACCAGCTTTTGTGTGGGAAATAATTGCCCTCGGCAGGCGAGCATAAGAAAGAGATGAGAGTGTAAGTGACAGGTTAGAGTGCTCGAGGGGCTCTTTAAGGGGTTCTTTTTATACGAGACTTCAAGGATTCCACGTTAAACTGGGCTTACGAACTAACAGCTGAGCTTTTCTGCGTTACAAACTGAACCGCTGCCTCTCCTTGCAGTACTGAACTTGACGTCTTGCACATTACTGATTTCATGTCCTCGCTAAATGCAGGTTTTTCGCATGATAAGCAACACGCTAATTATTATTATTATAATCAAGGGGGAAGCGCTAAACCCGGAGGATTATACAGCGCCTGGGGGGGGGGATGTGGAAGGCATTCAGGCTTAATTCGGGGAACTGGAGCACAGATCCAATTCCCTAAATCAAGAGCCCCTCACCAACATCAAGGAACCTTCCTTGAGGGGCAACACGCTAATGAACTCCCTCTCGCATCATAAACTAATAAATTATCCAAAGTACCCAGAAAGAAAGTATCCTACAAGAAAACACCGACTTTAACTTCGATTATAAATAATAAGAGAACTGAATAACTAATCTTAAATAAATTAGATAGGCAGTTAGAAGCTAGGGTAGGTCTACAACCCATTATGATAATATGAAGGGAAATAAGCACCTTTACCGAGCAACTTCTAATGTCACCAGACTAACGTACTCCTGGTAGTTTGCCCTGTAAAAGTCAAACACACAAAGAGCGAAATGTTTCACCGAGAGAAACGTTTCACTCCGAGCTTTTTACATGAAAACTCTCACTGAGTTAAACGTTTATCAAGATAAAGGTCTTAATTAGTGTTTTAATACGGTTTGTTCAGTTTAAATGTCTCTGATATACTAGTTGTGGGTATACAGTGTATTTTCACTGGTATATACAAAGACTATCAAATAAATATTATATATTCAGTTACTTGTGCATTATGTACGTGAGCTTCCACTAAACGTATTGTGTATCTCAGTACTGCTCAATAAGATCTATGATTTACCTGTGACCGGTTTCTAGGGTTTGCATAACCTCGCAGCCCGGCCTTGTGTTAAGGAATTCTACTAATGGTGAAGACAACACCAGAAATTTTGAGCAGGTGTCTAAATTTTGCTTGTAACACAATGGTAATCTGTACATATATACCCAAAAATGTCCTTTTAGGATCAGCAATCGGAGCCATTTCTTCAGAAGAGCTTTTGGTCACATGACCAAAAGATTCAGAAGAAACTCACCGGACTCAAAGACTTATCTTTTAACAGGATTAAGAACTGTAAGGAACTGGGTGGTCTGGCTTACCAGACTTCCCAGTAAAAAAAACAAAGGAGCACATTATATGTGCTACAATAATGGCTACACAAGAAAATACAAATATGCATAATTCACGTACAAGGTCATCCACGTACAAGGTCATCCACGTACAAGGTCATCCACGTACAAGGTAGACTTAATTACTTCAAACTGTTCGATAACACAAGAATTATAATCCCACAATTCCATAGCTTAGAACACACATACTGAAGACTAAACTAGATACTTCGGTCTGTTCTATTTCCTCTAGAGTTCTCCTATATATAGTAGTTGTGCATATTAATTGGGACAGTGATGGAATAAGACATTTATTTGGAAAATTAATGTTTATTTGAAAAATACACAGCAATGATATGACAACTGATTTAATAAGAAATATGACAACCCTTTGCTTTTATGAACATTGCTACACACTTTGGCATAAAATCGAACAATGTTGAACACATTTTGACAAGTTCGTCGTCCTGGTACCAGGTTCTAATAACAGTAGGAATTAGCTTTTCCACAGTTGAACAGTCCTGTTTTGCGATTCTCCCTTTGGTTATCGCCGCTAGATTCTCAATTGGGTTGTCAGGAGAGTTTCCAGGCCAATTTAGAACGCTTAGCCCACTCTCGTCGAAGAATGTCGGCATTTTTCTGGAAATGTGGCATGGAGAAAGGTCCTGCTGAAAAATGACTTCTCCATCAGGAAAGTCTCTGTCCACAATAAGAAGCAAATGCAGATAAATATTTCAGAGAATCGACAAGTTGATAAATTAGACACATGTGCAACACTTGGGTATCTTTACTGAGGAAACGTTTCGCCACACAGTGGCTTCATCAGTCCAGTACAAAGAAGAATGGTGAAGATCAGAAGGAGTTTGAGGTAATCAGTTCCTCAGCCTGGAGTCTATGTAATTAGTCCATCAATCTTGAAAAGAATACAGCATATGCGAGAAGTGGCTTATATACTGAAGACAGGTGAGGTGAAGCAGTCGTAGGTGGTATCACAGTGGACAAATTCACATATGGAAGTAGGTCATGCCTATAGGTTAGACAAGTGAAGATTTCCCTGTAACAAGATCCCAAAATGTTGGTGTATTTGACAGGAATATAGATAAATGGTTCAGAGAACCGAGAAGCTGCCAGGATTACCTTGTATTTGTCACTGTTAATCGTTTCCTCAACAATAACAAGTCATCCAGGACGTTTAGCAGTAAAACTACCCCAAAACATCTTAGGTGCTGTTTTGCCGCTTGTTGAATGTGTCTATTCTAGAGAGATTCGCCTTTGCTCCATCTCACTACCACTGATTTGTACCCATGTACTTCAAAATGCGCCACAATTGAAGATATAACTTGCACCATCCATCTGTCATCCATCCTTTATGATCAAGTGACCACCCCAGCCGTTTTTTCTTCATAGCAGTCAATTGTTTTTCTACCGGTTTTCTGGTAATTCTGCCAAGTTCAAGGTGCCTTCGTCGAACAGTTGAGTTGAAGAATCGACATTCACGTAGCTGACACCAAATCTCTCCATAGATCTTTGCTAGTTTTCTTGGGATCCTTCACAATATTTATGATAACCTTGTCAGTGTGAGGTATTTAGCGTTTTCTTCCACGTCTTCCTCGACTAAGCACTCCACAATCACCAGTGTCGTCAGTTCTCTTCAGAATCGGACCAACAGTTGACTTTGCCAGGCTCACATTTTCGGCAATCTGTCTAATACTCAAATCAGCATGTTTTCTAAGAGCTACAATACTTGCACGCTTCCTAGATGCAGCATCCATCATGAATTTTAGCAATAATCATGAACTGATGGGGAGAATTTGACGAAACCACTGTCACTCATGGAGCACACTTGCATGAATAGCCTTACAGAGCAACAGCTGTTGTAGCACTGACGAGAGTCGCAGGGTAACACTACAGCTGGAGGGTTACCAGAAGTCGGTAGCAAACTCTTTTGAAAAGAAAGAGCCCAAACTACCTTAATTAAGCCGGAGACTAAGACATATTATGAGATAATCCCAAAATTTACTCCTGTCCCAATTAATCTGCACCCTACTGTACTTAGCATCACATGTACAATTTGCTCAAGGGGGGAAAAAATCTTAAAATATAGTCGAGGTTTGGTACTCACTACTTCTAAGGCGTCAGCGATTTTGGTGAGGTGATCTTTGTTGAGGTTGTGTAGCAATGGTACACTGGAGAGGAAGTTGATATTGTCTTCCATCCGCTTGAGACCAGACCTCATCATCACCTGCTGGAACACCCGTCTGTCCAGCACCCACACCTTAGCGTGTGTCACAGCTGTAACCATATAATTCAATATTAATAAAGTATTGCAGTCAACAGACTGTCAGAAAGCCTTAAAAAAATTGGCCTCTTGTTAGAGGCCAATTTTCTTAAAATATTACTAAAACAAAACATCAGAATGAGTAGTACCTTAAAGAATCTGCATCTTAATGGGGAAATCAAGCGAGATCTCATTTGACATTTGTCCTGTGTAATTTTAAGACGAAAATAATTACTCCAACGTGAATGGAAGGAAAACATGCTAAGTGTATAGCTGGAATTAGTGCTAAACAGAGAGAAAGTCAACACAATCTAATGGTTATAATCATACCCATAATTTTTAAAGGGGTGAATCGGTGAGCCAGCGGAAGGTCTCAGTCAGATGACCAGGGCCTTCCGCTGGCCTGTTTCCTGTTTCCTGGCAAATCTTACTTAACCTAGTCAACACAATGCTGGAAGAATTTTGCTGTGTTTGTACTCGCCTATTTGTGATTGTAGGGGTCAAGTCGTAGCTCCTGGCCCCCGCCTCTTCACTGGTCTCTACAAGGTCTTCTCTTTCTCTCCCTGCTCCATAAGCTTTATCAAACTTCGTATTAAAACTATGTATGGTTCCTGCCTCCACTACGTCATTGTCCAGAGTATTCCATTTAGTGACAACTCTGTGACTGAAGAAATACTTCCTAACATCCCTGTGACTCATCTGAGTCGTCAACTTCCAATTGTGACCTCTTGTTTCTGTGTCCCATCTCTGGAACATCCTGTCTTTGTCCACCTTGTCAATTCCTCGCAGTATTTTACATGTCGTTATCATGTCTCCCCTAACCCTCTTGTCCTCCAGTGTCGTCAGGCCGATTTCCCTTGACCTTTCTTCGTAGGATATTCTCCTTAGCTCTGGGACTAGTCTTGTTGCAAACCTTTGCACTTTTCTAATTTCTGACCAGGTGTGGATTCCAAACTGGTGCTGCATACTCTAATATGGGCCTGACGCACACGGTGTACGGTCTTGAACGATTCCATACTCAGGTATCGGAATGATAGTCTTAGGTTTGCCAGACGCCCATATGCTGCAGCAGTTATATGGTTGTGCGCCTCATGAGATGTGCTCGGTGTTATACTCACCCCAAGATCCTTTTCCTTGAGTGAAGTTTGCAATCTTTGACCACCTAGACTATACTCTGTCTGTGGTCTTCTTTGCCCTTCCCCGATCTTCATGACTTTGCATTTGGCAGGGTTAAATTCAAGGAGCCAGTTGCTGGACCAGGCTTGTAGCCTGTCCAGGTCTCTTTGTAGTCCTGCCTGATCCTCGACCGATTTGATTCTCCTCATTAACTTCACATCTGCAAACAAGGACACTTCTGAGTCTATCCCTTCCGTTATGCCATTCACATATACCAAAAACAGCACAGGTCCTAGGACTGACCCCTGTGGAACCCCGCTTGTCACAGGCGCCCACTCTGACACCTCGTCACGTACTATGACTCGTTGTTGCCTCCCTGTCAGGTATTCTCTGATCCACTGCAGTGCCTTTCTTGTTATGTGTGCCTGATCCTCTAGCTTTTGCAGTAACCTCTTGTGAGGAACTGTGTCGAAGGCCTTCTTGCAGTCCAAGAAAATGCGGTCATATCTCATCTTAAGGCTATGATTGGTTCCTGCCTCCACTGTTTCACTTGCTAAAGTACTGCACTTCCTGACTACTCTGTGACTGAAGAAATACTAACATCTCTTTGACTCATCTGAGTCTTCAATTTCCAATTGTGACCCCCTGTTTCTGTGTCCCCTCTCTGGAACATCCTGTGTGTGTGTGTGTGTGTGTGTGTGTGTGTGTGTGTGTGTGTGTGTGTGTGTGTGTGTGTGTGTGTGTGTGTGTGTGTGTGTGTGTGTGTACGCTCCTGGCCTAGGCCTCCAAGCCTCCGAAGCGCTCTTGATCAAAAGAAGTGGAGCCACCCTTATTTTTATAAGATCAAACTTTATTACCTCATTCTTCCCTCCTCCCATTCTCCAGGCGCTGTACAGGTTTAGCGCTTCCCTATGAAAATATATAATAAAGAGCCAATAGTGTTTATATGACGAATTAAAGAACCTTGAGTAGGTGTTGTAGTGAAAGACTGCCATACATAGTAGCAAGAAGCAGCAGGAGAGGAAGCAGTAGCAGCAAGGGTAACAGATGCAGCAGGAACAACAAAAACAGCAGGAGCAACAGAGGCGGCAGCAGCAGCAGCAGCTGTTGCAGCTGCTACCCCTGAAGAGAGGAATTTTCACATGATGAGGACACTGACAAGGCAGCTTAATGAGCACCTTCTTACTCCCTGTTATCAGTGATTCTCCTCACCAGACTAAAGCACCTCAACACCTTGCTTGCTTACTTGCTCTCTCCTTCCTTTCTCTCTCTCTTTCTCTCTGTCACACACACACACACACACACACACACACACACACACACACACACACACAAACACCTTGCTCTCTCTCTCTCTCCAGGCCTTGCTAGAAGCGACAGCCTGGATACGGTATTCTTGCTCTTGTTCTGCTCTGCTAGATCTAGTACTCACTCTCCAGCAAACCACCTAGTGGTCCCTCGCTAAGTAAGTAAGTAAGTTTATTCAGGTATACACAAATACAGTTACATAGAATTATCATACATAGCAGCATATGAGTAGAGAACCTAGGATAACCCAAAAAAGTCAGACAGAGTGACTTATTTCCATTGGGGTCCTTTTACCTTATTATTATAATATAAAGGTTATAATATTTTCTTATTATTCTATAATGAAGATAACATCTTATTATCATACTAAAAAGACTATCTACTACACGAGGGTCATTAAGACTATCTACTACACGAGGGTCATTAAGACATATAACAATACGGACGGATCATTACTAGGAATAAGGTAAAATTACACGTTATGTTCAGATAAAAAATAGAAATCATTCCCCTCCCTTTCTGTAGCTACATTCATCAGACCCCTTTGGGCACTCTTCTTGAACTGGTTCATGCTATGACTGGCTTTTGACATGTGCGGGTAGTCTTCCATTCTTTATTGCTGTACAATAAAAATGTAGAAGCCTGGCCACTGACTGTGGGTACTACAAAGTTGTGCTCTCTCCCCTAGTACTATGTTGCTTTGGTTCCAAACCTGACAAAATTGACAGCAAGATATTCTGGACACTGTTTGTGAGCATTTTATAACCATGATTTAGCTCAGTTGTTTTTACTCTGTCTTCAACATTCAGCATATCCAACTGCTGTAATTCATCCTGCCTACAATCTCTGGTCCGAGCCCCAGGATGAATCTTAGCATTTTGTTCTGGGTGATTTGCAGTCTATCTTTCAGTTTTTATTGTCAAGGCAGAAGTACCAAGAAGAGCAAGCGTAATCCATATGGCATTGTATAAGGCGAGACATAGGGTCCTGCCGAGCCTCATAGGTAGAACACTGTGCTTGTCCTATAGCAGGAACTTCAGTCTGGCATTCGCTACTTACTACATTACACTGTCTTTACCTATCAATTCCCTGACATGCATGGGTCAAAGGTGGATTCCCAAAATATTTTTAATACTGATGAAACCAAAGTGATGGGCTTCCCCATTACATTGAACATTAAAGTTATTTACCCTTCTCAGTTTATGTTTTCGTGCCAAAAGAGAATGGCTTTTCAGTTTTTCCCTAGGTGTAATGATAGTTTGTTGTCTACAAACCATTTGCTGAGGATTCCAGTCCAGTGTTAAAACATTAGCAATAATCTTGTGGGTCTTTACCTGACACTAACAGAGCACTGTCATCCTGCATACGTAGGAGTTTGCACTTGACACTGATAGGCATATAATTGACGATAAAATAAGAGATAATAAGGGACCCAGAATACTACCTTGGGGAACTCCACATGTTATCGGCAGGGGTTCTGATTCTGTTTTGTTGATTTTGACTATTTGTCTCCTGTTGCTAAGGTAGGACTTAAACCAGTCTACAGAACCTATACCGATAGCTTGAAGTTTATTACATAATATATTGTGGTTGACAGTATCGAAGGCCTTTTGCAGGTCTAAGGTTACCATACCTATGAGGTTCCCCTTTGACATTTCAGTTCTCAGGTAATCCATCAGATTAATAAGGGAGGTGTCGGTTGAGTAGGATCTTCTAAAGCCCGATTGATAGCTATGGAGAATGTTGTTGTCATTAAGGTACTTAACTACTTGAGAATACACCGCCCTCTCTAGAATTTTAGATATTATACTGAGTATACTAACAGGCCTATAGTTGCTTACATCAGACCTACTATTTTTCTTGAAGATAGGAGTAACTCTGGCCTCCTTGAACCCCTCCGGTACGGTATTAGTGGTGATTGATAGATTTATTATGTGAGCAATAGGGATTGACAGTTCAGAAGCACCATCTTTTAGGAACTTAGACGGGATGTTATCAGGGCCTGTGCTCTTAGTTGGGTTTAACCTGCTTAGTTCTTTTTGAATAAAGTCATGAGATACACTTACTAGTTGACAACTGTTTGGGGTTACCCCTTTATTGGTATAGTATGTTTGAAACTTATCAGAGTCTGTGTTAAAGGTATTTGATGCAGCTGGTAGTTTACTTACTAGTGTTGATGCAACAGATGTGTAGTATGAATTAAAGCAATTTGCCACCTTAGATGTTTCGTGGCATACCTCATTATCGATAGTGAGTACTATGTTAGACCTATCTACTGGCTTATGGCTATACCCCAACTGTTTTAGTTGTTGCCAGAGCTTTCTGGGGTTATGCTTATACTCTTCAATTTTTGAGCAGTAGTGCTTTGCCTTTGCTCCTTTTATAAGTCTCTGTACTCTGTTCCTCACCCTTTGGAATTCATTTAGTGCTGCAATATCCTGTCTGTTTGCTTTAAATCTTTTTAGCAGCTGGTCTCTGAATTTCATATTATCTAATAACTCAGTATTCATCCAGGGTTCAGTTCTTCGTTTAATCCTAACCTCTTTAAACAAACTGGTGCAATATTGTCAAGATGGTAGTTGAACATTGTTTTGAATTTTCCCAGCTGCTTTTACGTCGTGCAACTTGTTATCTCTGTCCAGCCACAAATTGTGTAGGCCTATTTACCCAGTGTTTTTCTTTACGTAAGTTTCTAGTTGACCTCATTTATGTCCGGTGTAGGCCTATCCTATCCCTAGTGATTTTCCTGTGCAAGTAAATGATGAAATGATCACTAAGACCTGTGGTAATGACGCCTGACTGACTAATTTCTCAGAGCGTTACAAAGTATGTGTCAAATTAGGGTATGCTGAGACTGTGTGATCCGGTAGGAGTATTAATTAGTTGAGTGTAACTATTAAATCCTAGAAATGCTTATACCCTTTGCATAGTAGCCCGGTTATTTTGCTGCTGTGAAAACAGAAATTGAAGTCGCCCAGTAATATTGTCTCGCATTGTTTTCAACTCCGGACAAGACTCTAAAAGTCTTCTAAGAACTGGTCCCAGGGTAGGAGGGCGGTAACTAGTTCCACTAAAGATGTGGTTTTGGTCTTAGGAATCAGCACTTCAAAGCCATGAGAATCTTCTCCAGTTTATTGTAATTTAAATCCGGTCTTGTGTTGTAAGCTAAGTCATTTCTAATATAGGCACATACTCCACCACCCTTCTGTTCCCTATCTAAGCGTTTTATATTGTAACCTTCTATTTGACCTCGTCAGACTGGCTCCGTATCATCCAACCAAGATTCAGAGATGGTTTATAACTGCCGCCCATAATTTTGTTAGCTAAGAATCCTAATCTCTGCCAATTTAGGAAGAATTGAACTTGCATTGCCAATGAATAAATTGAAGGCCTGTTTTTCATAAAACAATCATAATCATTCAATAATGGGGCAATGGGTCATTTGTATTAAATTTAGTAAATCATGTCATCACTGCTAAAGGGTAACTGTGGGGCAAAAGTGCATTTGTTACACACAAAATAATTCGGGCACCGTTGTTATATATTGTACATACATCCATCATGCACCCGACCCCTTACACATTTTATCATAAGGTGGCCTTCTGTTTTTCATGCGTACTATATTACAGTGTATGCACCTGTTTAGGTAGTGATTTGAGAAATAATGCTGTATTGTCCCTCACATTGACCTAATGTATCATTACATATGGAGTTACGTTACATTCCTAGCTACTAGAGACCGTCATTATCTGCCGTCATTTATGCTGTCGTTTTGCCTGCTGCACAATAGTAAGTAGGTCCTGGATTAATTTGGATATCACCACTTAAAGCGCTACAATAAGAGCTGTGTGCCACTGTTTTTGTTCGGGTAATGACGGTGTTGCCATACCTTGCGGGCGATAGTACATTTACTTTTCCTGGAGATGGCAACTGTTGGGCTATTTACTGTCGAGGCGCTGTTACTCCATTCACCTTTTTCCAACCCCCATGACTGATTTCTTTCTTCAAAGGAATTGAAGAAGAAATATAAATATAATTATGGCAGCCTGTTCCCCCCTGATGCCTGCAATTTCGTCACTCTCGCTCTTTTACCCATAAACAATAATATTTATTTCTTTTATCCAGTCCAAGTACACTTAGTATCTGCTTTAGCAATCACCACTGAATTACATAAAATTTCCTCTTCAAAACTCTTTCACTGCTTACTTTTCCTAACTCACAAACCCTTAACAGTTAACCCTTTTATTACACACATCCTTCCCAACTCACTATCACAGTCTGGCTTCACTCAATTAGCTTCTAACTCCTTTCCAATCTGTAGATCAGAAAGGTTTAATCCATGGTTTTATCCTTCCAAATCCTCCCCTCAATTTCCATTTATCGGGGGTTGTGTGGTGTTGTTGCTCGTGACCTGTTCTGCTGTCTCAGCCATTTTTAAAAACACTGATGGGAGTAACGCCACCTACAACCTGACTTTCCTATGAGTTTATAGATATATTTGGCGTTTTCTGCTATGATTCCTCAATGTCACTGGTCAGCTGTGAATATAGGTCAAGCTACTAAAACATAAACCTAGGGGCTGTTTAACTAATTCACTTCTTCCACGACTGGCACTGAGGATATCCGACCTATAACCTTGGAGTTTTGTACTGTGATCTGACACGATTGTCTCCTGTTTATCCCTCGTCGTTATGCACTGGAACAGGTGATAGATGGTGGAGTATCAGAGATATGAAGCTACTGTCAAGCAGATGAACGTCCAGTAAGATAGAATTTCACTTCGCTAGTTGTACGTCTGGCAATAGCGACTGTTTGGATGCCGTCAGCCTATGTTTAAATGCTCAATCTCTTTCCCTCGTTTGGCACTGAAGAAAAAAAAGCCCTACAAACCTGTCATTTCCTTGGAGATTTAGTTGATCCAGGTTTTCTGCCATGTGTCTTCCCGTTACACACTGTGCAGTTGATATGGAGGTCAGTTATTTCATTGTAGTGGAAAACGTCTCATGTCTGGTTCACGTCTGGCAGCAGGTCTGGTACTTGAATGCCGGTCCCTCTTTTGTCATATTTAGTCCATTTCGTTGTCGTCACCGTCAGTTTTTATGTCACTATAGGTTCCTTGCATGTTGTTGCAGCAGTACTTGCAAATTTGGCCATCACTGGAGTTCGGATAGGCCCAGGGGACGGCAAAATATAGGAGCAGCCTTGTTGCTGCTTGCTGCGGCTGCTGCTGCTCTCCCCTCGACCCCTTTCTCTCTCTCTCTCTCTCTCTCTCAGTGACTGACGTATTTTTTCCTTCTCCAAAGGTTTTTGTACAAAGAACAGAAAGAATCAGAAGTAAAATGAGTCAATAATGACATATAGTTAGGAATCCCTTAACCTGTAAATATCTTGTCACTAATGCTAGGGATCCTTAACCTTGTCAACCCCTGTGTAAAGAGAGAGAGAGAGAGAGAGAGATAGAGAGAGAGAGAGAGAGAGAGAGAGAGAGAGAGAGAGACACTACTTGTTATTACCCATTTGTAGATACAGAAGATCAATGTTCGTGGTTTCCTGTCTTAATTACCACTTAACTCTCCTTGAGTGTTCCATCCCCCAGAGCGATAACTCACGTGTATCTCTGTGTTAAAGTCAAAAAATGCAGCAGATGTGAAGACACTTGCACCTGTGTCTCGCTCTTCCTGAGAATCACACCTGTCCTTCAGCTCTGCTCAGACAGCCTAGCAACTGAGATGCTTGTACAGGTGTACACAATGACCGTACCGTTGACGCTGGTAGTTCTGGTACAGTTGTACAGGATGGCCTTACCTTTGACGCTGGTAGTTCTGGTACAGTTGTACAGGAGGGCCCTTTTACCTTTGACGCTGGTAGTTCTGATACAGTTGTACAGGATGGCCTTACCTTTGACGCTGGTAGTTCTGATACAGTTGTACAGGATGGCCTTACCTTTGACGCTGGTAGTTCTGGTACAGTTGTACAGGATGGCCTTACCTTTGACGCTGGTAGTTCTGGTACAGTTGTACAGGATGGCCTTACCTTTGACGCTGGTAGTTCTGATACAGTTGTACAGGATGGCCTTACCTTTGACGCTGGTAGTTCTGGTACAGTTGTACAGGATGGCCTTACCTTTGACGCTGGTAGTTCTGGTACAGTTGTACAGGATGGCCTTACCTTTGACGCTGGTAGTTCTGGTACAGTTGTACAGGATGGCCTTACCTTTGACGCTGGTAGTTCTGGTACAGTTGTAGAGGATGACCTTACTTTTCATGCTGGTAGTTCTGGTACAGTTACACATGATGCCCTTACCTTTCATGCTGGTAATGGTATTGTTGTACAGGATGACCTTACCTTTGATGCTGGCAGTTCTGGTACAGTTGTACAGGATGGCGAGCTCCCCGAATGCCTTGCCAGAGGACATCCTGCCCAGGACTTCTCCATCCTTCATCACCTCCAGCTCCCCCACCGCTGACACATACAAGTGGGAACCTGACAATGAAGATACATGTATTACTGTAGTAATCTGTGGAGGTTGTGTAGGGGTCGTGGTTGTGTGGGGGGTTGTGGTTGTGGGGGGTTGTGGTTGTGTGGGGTCGTGGTTGTGTAGGGGGCTGGTTGTGTGGGGGGGTCGTGATTTTGTGGAGAGGCGTGGTTGTGTGAGGGTCGTGGTTGTATGGTGGGTCGTGTGGGGGGTCGTGTGTGGGGGTCGTGGTTGTGTAGGGGGTCGTGGTTGTGTGTGGGGTCGTGGTTGTGTGGGGGTCTTGGTTGTGTGGGAGGTCGTGGTTATGTGGGGGTCGTGGTGTGGGAGGTCGTGGTTGTGTGGGGGTCGTGGTTTATGTGGGGTCGTGGTTGTGTAGGGGGTCGTGGTTGTGTGGGGGTCGTGGTTGCGTGGGGGGGTCGTGGTTGTGTAGGGGTCGTGGTTGTGTGGGAGGTCATGGTTATGTGGGGGTCGTGGTTGTGTAGGAGGTCGTGGTTGTGTGGGGGTCGTGGGTTGTGTGGGGGATGGTAAGTGTGTTGGGGTGGTGATGGTAGTGTGTAGTAGGGGTAATCACAGTGTGGGGGAGGTGACAGTGTAGCAGCGTAGTATAAACCTTAGTAATAGATACCGACAAGTTAGCTTAGAAAAACACGTGAGCAAACACTAGGACATATTAGAAAACGCTTCGGTCCTGGGACCTTGATCAAGGTCCCGGGACCAAAACGTTTTCTAATGTCCTAGTGTTTGCTCACGTGTTTTTCTTAACAAGTGTGGCAGTGTGTAGCATGACAGAGGAAGAACGACATATTAGCATGATGAGAAAATTCTCAAGAGGTTTATCAATAATGAGGAAAATACAGCAAGATGAAGGAGTAACTGAAAACAGGAGAGACCAAACCTAAGTGGTCAACATTCTCTCAGATTTGGCATAAGGAGGAATCGCTAGAACAAGAATAACACAGGAAAGTTACAAAGACACATCAGATAAAACATGTAGTGGAGGAGTGTTGAAGTGTGTTTACAAACGCTGTTGCAACAACGACTGGCGGCAACAGCAAATATTCTTTTATAGTAACAGGGAAATAACGTCTTTACAATAGTTTCTTCCAGAAAACGAGCACAGGATAAATATTACCCAAACCAAAATAAATTGGATAAAAGGGAATTTTTGAAGCACATTAGTAAAGGTTGTGTATATAAACTTAGAAATAACTATGTAAAAAAAGACAATCTAGAGTTGCTGTGATGACATGGAGTTGCTCAGTGGTGACGTGGAGTTGCTGGTGTGAAGACGTACTGTGTGAGATCTCTGTGAAACTGAATCAACAAAGCCCTCTATCGAGCAACTTTACCAGCATCTTAATTAAGGAGGAGCTGAGAGTGACAGGCCCGAGATTCGGCGATGACTGAGAAAATCAAGAGGATTCGTAGAAATTCTCCTGTTGTGAATCCTCAGGTCAAGAAAGGAAGCTGGAGAGTGGCCGGGAAGGAAGGTACAAAGCGGAAGATCAAGAGCACGGATGGAGAGGTAGAAACGATGAAGAGCCAGGAGACTGATGTGGAAACTTTGAACCCAGTCTCCATGCTATCTGACGAACTTAAGACGACTATTGGGAGCATTGTGATGAAGAACAAGGAAGGTAAGAACATTGTACTTGTTGGGGACAATCAGATTAGGTACATGGATAGGGCCTTCTGCTTGAAGGATAGGAGTAGGAGACAGAGGGTTTGTTTTCCTGGGGCCAGTGCTGAAGGCAATGATGTAAACAAGTTTAGAAGTGAGGATTTAGTTAGAAGGTATAAGACAGCAATAGACATGATTAGGAAGAAGGGAGGGAGCCCTGTTAAATGCAGCATTTTTCCAAGAAGGGGTGTTGAAAATGAATGCCTGTCCAGAGAAATTGGTTTAAATTGTTGGCGATAATGCAGTACCATTCATTGGCAACTGGGACCACTTCTGTGGCAGAACCCCATCCCTGGCATGCCAGGGATGGGGCTCATTTATTCAAGGCAGGTATGGGTTTTCTCGCTAGTTCAGCTGAGGGTATTATTAGGCCTTTAAACTAGGATTAGTTAAAGGTAATGGTATAGGAATGGAAAATAAGAATCTTAAGAATAACAATTATAACAAAATGCTTCCGAGACCAGAGTGGCAATTTCCAACTAATTTTAGGTCACTGATAATGAATATCATGGTTAAAATTGTTAGCTCTACTTTTCAATATACACCTACGTGTCGCAACAGGCTCCAACAGGCTTGCGGCAGTGTGTTTCTTACCACACTCACAGTCTCACACTGACCTTCATTATTGTTCCAGTACTCATAGAAGTTTGTGCTGTGTAAGTTTATATTTTGAGGTGAAAGGTAGGGGATTTTCTTTGCCAAACACTTTGGTGATGGGCTTACAGGGCGGATACACCAAGTACTACTACTGCTTTCTATGTGAATGGGACAGCCGTGCAAGAGGTTCCCACTACATCAGGAGAGACTGGCCACCTCGTCAATCATTGGAGCCTGGGATGAAAAATGTTCAACATCCACCTCTTATTGAACCAAACAAAATTTTACTACCACCACTACACATAAAACTGCGGCTCATGAAAAACTTTGTAAAAGCTATGGGCAAATCCGGTCAGGGATTCAAGTATTTAACATCAAAATTCCCCTTACTGAGCGACGCTGGGAGAGGGAGTCTTCAATGGTCCTCAGATTCGAGAGCTTCTTAAAGATGGTGACTTTGAATCAGACCTTCATGGGGAGGAGAAATCTGTTTGGGAAGTATTCGAGTTAGTGGCGAAGGTATTTCTCCTAAACAGAAGCAAAGGCAACTATGAAGAATTGGTGGAAAACCTCATCAAGGCTTACAAGAACATGGGATATAACATGTCACTTAAAATCCACTTTCTGGATTCACATTTAGACTTCTTTCATCGAACTGTTGGGCAGTTAGTGGCGAACATGGTGAAAGGTTTCACCAAGATATTTCAACCATGATAAAATGGTACCAGGGCAAATGGGACACAAGAACACTTGCAGACTATTGCTGGACATTGGCAAGAGATGATTCTTCAGGCCACTATAAGCGTCAAGCAAAAAGGCAGAAAGTAGGTACGGATTAGAGTTTAAAACATACTGACACATATTGTACGTTATAATAAAATAATCAAATATTACATGTCTCGTATCTTTAAACCTATAAGCCAATAAGCATTTTTCAAGGTAATATTTGAATTCAGGACATGAAAATACATAAGAATTAACTAATCTCATTTAAGAAGGCCACAACTTTTCAAAAATTGTTAACCAGTGAATTATCAAGTAACACTGGGTAATGATAATAACAAATTGTGAAAAAGAAAAGTTGAACAGGAAAAACGTGCAGAAGAAAAAACTTAATAATATATTTTATACTAAGAGTCGAAGTGCCAGAAATAAAATTAATGAATTACATTTGGTAGCGGGTATAAAAATAGTGAGATAGATTAGTCACTGGATTTGTTTGGGTAGAATTTCTAGAAAGTCGAAAAAAAAATAATTTTAGGTGTAATATATCGTCCTCCTGGCTTAGGAAACTAAATGTACAGAAGGAGACTTCTTCTGGACGAAATTGTTAGGGCTTCTAGACACGATAATGTAGTAATAGTGGGGGATTTTAACTTTAGCATAATTAAATGGACTTCCTTAACCGGTAATCTGGAGTTCAGTGACTTTCTGAAAGTAGTTCAGGACTGCTTTCTGAAACAATGTGTAACTGAGCCTACCAGAGGTAATAATTTGCTCTACCTACTCTTGTCAAATAAAAAAAAAATCGTAAATAATCTGGAGATTAATGGTGTGATCACAAATCAAACCACTAATATTACCTGGAAGTACGAGAATAATGATATTATGATAATAGACCCCTATTTTCCTTCTGACGATTATAATGGACTTAAGGAACACCTCTCTAATCTCAGATGAGCTAATCCATTTTTTTGATGATGATCATACTACTATAACGAAGGGATCTGCATTTATGATTTTTTTCTTAATAATGTACAACGTGCTCGGAGTATATATATTTCCCAGAGACAAATTAGGTCAAATAAGAATGACCCTAGATAGATTAACAATAGACTAAAGCATCTATTGGGAGAGAAAAAAATTAATTTATAAACACATCAAACCTTAACTTTATTGATCAATACGTTCATTTTAAAAGAGAAGTAAAAAAGGGGGATTAGAAAGGCTAAATGCGACTATAAAATAAAAGCTGCAAATAAAACAAAGGCGAATCCGAAAGGGTTCTTTCAAGTGTATAGGACAAAAGTCAGAGAAACAGTGGGACCGCTGAGAACTGGGGACGGACAGCTGACTGGGGACGGACAACTGACTGATAATGAGCAGAAAATGTGTTCTATATTTAATGGATATTACTTGTCAGTTTTTACAGAAGACAAATGATATCCTAGCAATTAACAGTTATTCAGTTCCTGAAGAAAACAAATGGTTATCAATCAGAGATAAAATGAAACAAAATAAATCCCCTGGATCCGACGAATTATTTGAAGATGAAGGGGAACTGAAGAATAGAGAGTAGGAAAGATGTGAGGGGGTTACTGAAGAATAGATAGTAGGAAAGATGTGAGGGGGTACTGAAGAATAGAGAGTAGGAAAGATGTGAGGGGGTACTGAAGAATAGAGAGTAGGAAAGATGTGAGGGGGGTACTGAAGAATAGAGAGTAGGAAAGATGTGAGGGGGGTACTGAAGAATAGAGAGTAGAAAGATGTGAGGGGGTGCTGAAGAATAGAGAGTAGGAAAGATGTGAGGGGGGTCTGAAGAATAGAGAGTAGGAAAGATGTGAGGGGGGTACTGAAGAATAGAGAGTAGGAAAGATGTGAGGGGGGTACTGAAGAATAGAGAGTAGGAAAGATGTGAGGGGGGTACTGAAGAATAGAGAGTAGGAAAGATGTGAGGGGGTACTGAAGAATAGAGAGTAGGAAAGATGTGAGGGGGGTACTGAAGAATAG